ATTGCACTAAAATTTATTGCATTCATACAACTTGGTTTCGCTTGATTAAAGGGATCGATTTCACATCATCTTGTGTAACACATACTGTAGAGATAATTGATCTATGACCTCAAAATGAACAACAACATCTAGAGAAAATTAGGACATAGTGAGTATTATTTTGTTAAGTCTTCTTCGTGCTCTAAAAAGTCTCGTGGAACACTACAAAATATGTGTAACACGTTGTTACAAGTGACTAGTACTCATTCATGAAATACAGGTGCCTTTGAGTCTTCCTGGAAATTGACTTTAACACTTAGGACAACTTTTTTTGCAACCACAAATTATTACCTCATTTTATTTGTCTGGATGTGTTTCTTTTCGTTAATTTGTACCTAATAGTCCCATGCATAGACAAGTCAACAATGCTACTTTATGAAATATCGTTTAGTTAATTAATTGTTCACTTTTTTTAATGTGGAAGTCGTTGTAACAATTAAGAAATGAAATGGTGTTTAGTTAGTTATATCATCATTTCTTACGTGACTACTTATTTTATTAACTTATTTATATCTTGGTAATTATCATGAACCCACATTATTATTTTTACGTTTATCTTTTTTATTCTTCTTTTTATTTTTATTCTTTCATTATTAAATAATCTAAAGTCTACTAAACGGTAAAACCTTTTGCATTATACAAAATATATTGTTGGGTGTTAATAAAAAGATCAATTTGTTTTTTTGGTGTATTCTTTAAATTACATGCACTACAACAAAAACAACTTTTAGCGGCAATAAATATACACATTAATAAAGAGTGTTAAAGATTTTACCGGCATTGATTAAGTATTATTAGATCCAATGTTGCTAAAGACTTTAGAGACATATACAAAGAGGGTTAATTGCAGAAAATTGACACGTCTTGACTTTTTATGATTATATAGATTCCGTAAAAAAATGCACTAAAATTTACTGCATTCATACAACTTGGTTTCGCTTGATTAAAGTGTCCCTTCTTGTCTTATGGAAGATGAAATGGAGTAACATCATGTCTTTATTGTTCATTTATTATTATTTTTTTCTCAATTGACTTGGTCATACAATAGTTTCTCTCTTTGAAATATATTGTGGAAAACAGAAGAAGAGATTCTTCGTTGATGGAAAGTTAGACAAGAATGACTTAAAATAGGAGTTCAAATTTCTATCTATCCATCTATACTAATGTTAAATTTCTGTTTTTTCTCTGTTTGTTGTTTGTATATACTTGCTAGCAATATAATTGTATATGTTATTTTCGAATCCGAAACCCTTGGTTCAATTTTACCTGGAACCATACATTTAGCATAACTATATGTCCTATTGCATTATAGTTATTATACAAAGTGGAAAAGTTCAAGGGATAATAACTGAAAATCTGACTCAACTTTAGGGATATACTTAGGGCGGTTCAAAATGGAACCACAACAGATAAGCCAATCGCAAAATTTTATAGTTACAGTGCGGGAGGATTACTCAAGTCTTATATGCGACCTCTGCAGAAGTCAATAGGACAACGAAATACAAAGCTTTGCTTTCTACTATTGACATCGACATATTATGAGTTGCTTGAACCTTACATGGACACTCTATTTGAATTGACCACTGAGGGATCAGACGAAGATGAGAATGTTATCGCTCTTCTAGCAATTGAGCTTTGGAGTAAAGTCCCTAAACTAGATGGTCTGCAATGCTGTGAAAGGAATAGTACTTGCACCAGAAAAGTACATATCATTCTTGCCCATTATTAAAGGCTATGTGAACAACATTACACGCACTAGTGTAGTTAGCGCATACAGGACTACGTACTGATTTCTTCTTGATATCCATTTGGACCTGCCAACCAGTGGCCTTTGTACTTGTGGAAGTTTCAGTAGCTACATCTAGCTTATCACTGTCTTTTGTTGTGGGATTTCTTTACTCAAACCTTGCGGACAAGGTTCTTATTGAGGACGAGAGTATTGTTATGAACAAAGTTCAGCCCAATGTGGATAGTCTAGGAGGTCTTACTGTTGTAAAATTTGTGGTGTGTTTGGTAAGTAAAATTATACCTACTGTCACGTTTATTATGACCCGAGTAAATTTTTTTTGTGGAAAACAGCACAAGAGACAACGCAACTAATCATATCAAACAAAAATAAAATTCCACACGGTATTATTGTTTTGTTGTTACATACTATAAGTAGATGGAGGACTTAAATCATGTCTTCAATTATTGTTCATTTTTTTCCTCACTTGACTTAGTCAAGCAATAGTTTCTGTCATTGGAAATTTCTTACAAGTTCTGCAGAATTTCTTTCCACATAAATATGGGACCAAT